CGAGTATATTGTGAATTGCGCGGCTTTTTGTCTTGCCCTGCGCTCCTCCGCTTCCATCGCTGCAAGCAATTCGGGAGGGTATGTATTTTTTCTGCATTCTGCTTCTAATGCCAGAGGCTGTGGAGCTAGTGGAGGGGTTTCGACTCCTGCTGCCTTAGTGGATGGTGTTTCAGCCCTTTTTGCGGGCCTCACTTCTGCAGGTCGCGGTAGTGCTGGAACCGTAGCGCGCTTTTCGGGTGCGATGACGGTTATTCTGGGTGGTTCGGTGGGGTCCAAGACTTGTTCCACGTCTTCTGGGCTGGAGGATGCCCAAATTGAATCGGCGAGGGTTTTCATCTTCTCGACTTCTGCGTCCATCAGGTCTACTTCAGGGACATCGTTCTCCTTAGCTAGGAGAGCAGCCGCGATGGTGTTCATGTTCTGAAGATTGGACTCGAGTCCACGTCTTGTCAGCATATTCCTCGCGTGGTTTTGAATGGCGGGAGTCCATTGATACGGTTTGTTGACACGATCTTTGGCAGTGCCGTTGATCGCGTTTTTATGCGATTTACGCGTCGGAGTCATTTTAAAATGCCGCCGATGGCAAACAATTACGATTCGATTTGATAAATAATGGGTGAGATGGATAATAGGGTGGGAATGGGCAATATGGGATTCTCGAATTGTGCGTTTTCTTTTAATTATATTAAAGTCCTAAGCTAAAGCCCTAGGTCCACTATCGGTACAAGACTGTTGGAGCCGGCGGGGATCACTGCTTACGGGCCCAACTCATTCCAACAGCAAGACCCGCCACAGAAAAATTAGCAGGTAAATTATAATTCAGAAACTGTAATCAAAAACTAAAATCAAAAGTAAAAGCCAAAGACTGAAATCAAATTTAGAAGATTTTTTCAAGTGGTCCGGATCCCGCGCTTCTCGCCTGTTCCCTTTCCTGTCACATCTTCCAAATGACAAATTTACTCAATCTCCGCTGTGAGCAAGAGATGAGTTAGCAGGCACCTTTTGTCCAGTCGGTATCCTGCTATTGGTTAGTATATGCCCCAAAAGGGACATCGTCGAGGTTGCTGTGTCCTCAAACTTCTTCTCCAGATCCCAGAGCTCCGAAACCTGTTGCCTTGGCCATAGAGACATCCTTCGCCGCGGCGATAATCGCCTCCTCGGCCCTTCTGGCTGCTGATCGAGCTCGTGCCACCTTCGCGAACTCCCTTTGTTCGTTGTGGCTGATCCACGCGAGCAGCTCTTTTGTCACCGGTCCCCCACAGTTACGACACTTTGTGAGGGCCTTGCACTCGGCTTCCGAGTGCATATTTGATCCGCAGTTCCAGCAGGCTGGAGCGCGGGAGCAACCACGGGTAGTGTGGAAGCCCAAACAGCGTTTGCACTGTTCAATTTGGCGACGAGGCTTGTGATGGGTAGCTTTACCAGACTCGTTCAAGAGGCGGAAGCCCGCACGAGGGGCGGAGTCCCGGTCGAAAATGGCATGCCAGTTTCGATACGGCGCCCCAGGTCGACACGTCCCATGGGGTCGGACCTGGATTGGATTTACGCCGGTCGTAATGGCGATTTGGACAGAGACCCACTCAGCACCGACCGCCCTTGTTCCATCCTCTGAAGTTATACTTACAGGTACGTTCGGTATCTGTAAGGCAGCAAGATTCGAAGATGCCTCGAGTTTGGCGTTTTCGCTCGCCAGCTTCGAAGAGCCATCTAGCATCTCTTGTCGTATTTCGTCGTTCTTTGCTATCAAAGCAAAGCCGGTCCTCACTCGATGAATCGAGGGTATTTTATGGGGAAAGTAATGGAATATGGGCTCCAATTTACTTCTCACGGAACTTGTGGGCAGATTTCTCCACGGGTGGTCCTTTTCAAGGCGAAGGAACAGTCGCTTGTCGACTTTCGCCTTCGAAGTTTCATTTTGTTGGGCTTTTGCCGCAGGTCGCGGCACAGCCTTTACAGTTGGGACTGCTTTTTGTTGCAGTCCTTTTCTGGCCACCGTGGCCCAGGTGCTTTTGACAGGTAGAACTGGGATGGCGGGAATCGTTGTACTCCTGGCGTCGGGAGCCCTTGGGGTTGGGCTCGCCGGGCGAGGAGGGGGGACGGGTGGCGTGATGGCCGGGCCCGTGGCCATGTATTGCGCTATGGCGGCGCGTAGGTAGACTCTCGTCGAGTCTACGAATTGTCTATTTGACCCGTTGGTCAAAGGCAGAAGGGTGGCTTCGACGCCAGAGATGACAGCGGAGCAGAGGGCCAGATTTGCCGCTTTTCGGCGACGCGTCGTTGTTCGGCCTCGACGATTGGTCGAAGCTCAGGAGGGCATTCTGCTTTCGTGGCAGCTTTGGGCTGCGACGTTGATTTTAACGCTGCTTTGGGTGCAGCGTTCTCCGAGGGTATTTGCGTGGTCGGAGGAGGTTTGGACGATTCTCCAATCCCGTGGGGGATGGAGACTCGTTGAAGAAATTCCTCAACAGTTTCAACTGACCCGATCATGTCAGTATCGGGCTCAGTGACGGCGGGGAGGGCTTTTTCCTTCCCTTTAGTAGAGACCTTGCTCATCTCCGCGCATTTCGGAGACTGGGCAAGGCCAGGTAATTGTTCGAGAGCCCTCGGGTGGACTCTCGTGTTGTCCAACTTAGTGTTGGGACACTTTTTGCGAACTGGAGGCATGGTGAAAATGCCTGAGCTCGATCACAATTCAGAGATAGATGCGACGAGGTCGAGAAGGGAGGAAAGAGGGAAAAAATGAATCTTCGAATTTTCGAAATCCTCGAATTTTTTAATTTTTTTTTTACTTTTGGTCCTAAGCTAACGCTATCTTTTCCTCATTGGGTCAAGAACCGGTGGAGCCGGCAAGAATCACTGCGTACAGGCTCAACTCATTCCAACTGCATGGACTTCTACTGAAATTGTAGTAGTTAACAGCAAAACTAAAATCAAAAACATAAATCAAAGACTGAAATCAAATTTGGAAGAAATACTGTTTCGTCCGGATCCCGCGCTTCTCGCACGTTCCCTTTCCTGCCACATCTTCCAGGTGACTTTTTCTTATCTCCGCTGAGAGCGAAAGACTAGTTCGCAGATAACCTGAATTCAGCTGGTATCCTGCTATATATATTGAAGCTTTTTGTAGACTTCACCGAGGGTTGCTGTACCCTCAAACTTCTTCTTCGGATCCCAGGATTCCGAAACCCGATCCCTCGGCCATCAAGACATCCTTCGTTGAGGCCATTGTTGCCTCTTCGGCCCTTTTGGCTGCAGCCCTAAATCGAGCTACTTTCGCGAACTCCCCTTGCTGGATCTGGCGGATCCGCGCGAGCTGCTCTTTTGTCACCGGTCCGGACTTGCTGGGTCTGGCTAAGCAGGCCCGGGAATCCGATTGGTGAGGTCCCCCACAGTTTCGACACCGGGTGAGGGCCTTGCACTCTGATTCTGAGTGCATATTAGATCCGCAATTCCAGCAAGCTGGAGCGCGGGAACAACCACGGGTGACGTGAAATTCAAGACACCGTTTGCATTGTTCGATTTTGCGACGAGGTCGGAAGAGCTTTGCAGCTCCAGAGTCGTCGAAAAGGCGGAATCCAGGTCGAGGAGCGGATTCTCGGGGAAAGAGCGCTTGCCAATTTGAGTAGGGCGCCCTGATTTGCTAGTCCCATGAGGACGAACCAGAAAGGGAACCAACTGGGTCACTCGCGTGACTTCGTCGGCAACTATCTTTGCCGTCACGGCGATTGGGCCAGCAAGAGTTCGAATTGTCTCCGGGACGGTGGCAATTTGAATGGCAACCAGATTTGATGCTGGTTCCAGTTTGATTCCAGATTCGCTCCGTGATGTGGAGTAATCTAGGAGCTCTGTTCGAGCGAGTTCATCCTTTGCGGTTATTGCAAAGCCGGTCTTTACCCGCTGAACCAACGTGATATTGTTGGCAGCGGTTCCCAGCGCCTGAGACACCGCTAGCCTTACTCCAGCTGGAGAAAGGAGACGGTGGGGATGGAAATAGTCAAGGCGCAGAAAAAGTCGTGAATCGGCTTTTCCACTCGAGTTGGCACTTTTTGCTTTCTGGGCGGGCGGTGCTGCCTTTTTTGTCGATGGCCCAGCGCTGCTGACTAGGCCTGCCCGAGCTACGGTGGCCCAAGTCGTCTTTGGGGCCGGAGCCTGGGTTTTTGTAGAGTTAGGTGCCCTAATTTCTGGAGCCCTCGGTGAGATGGGTTGGCGGGGCGGGCAGGAAGGACTGGTGGTGTGCTTCCTGGACCGGATTGAACGATCTGGCCAATAGCTGCTCGTAGGTAGACTTTTATACCGTCTATGAATTCTTTATTTTCGCCGATCGAAAGAGGCGAAAGTGCTGCTTCAACACTGTTTATCGCAGTCGAGTAGATGGCGAGACGGGCCGTAATTTGCGTCGTACGTCGCTTTTCGGCCTCCATCACGGTTTGCAGCTCCGGAGGAAACTCCATAGCTGATGTCGATGCTGCGCCTTTTGAGGCTGGCACTGCATTTTTCCGGCAGACGATTCTGCACGTTCGGTCGTCCTTTCTATGACGACCTCCTATCCTTTCCTGGAGCTGCTTGCCTCGGGGGCCAGCTCGACGGGGGTTTTGGTCTTGGGACAGTTGTTTTCTGCTCTGATCGGTTCAGAATCAGTCATCTCTTGATCGAGAAGATTTGTGGACTTCCCTGGGACAAAGGCCTCACTCGCAAACAAGCTTGATAATTTTTGCGCGAGGCCAGGAGGTTTTGGACACATGTGTGTCCGTTCAAAGCCGACAGAAATGGTCGACTTTGGCCGTTTGCTCTTTATCGGAGGCATTTTGGGACGCCTTTCGATGGTCATCAATTCGAGAACTCAAGCACAGGAATAATCATGAGAAGGGAAAAGGGAAAAGGGAAATAGGGAATCTTCGAATTTTCGAAATCCTCGAATTGAGCGTTTGTTTTCTATTTTTCGTCTGTCAGGGCGCCAAGCTTGACTTAGGTCCCTACTACCCACCAAACTACCTAGAGGCATGGACGCCAGTGCTTACTGCCCTGGTGGCTTCGCCCTTGTTACTTACGAAGTAGGTATGCAGGGCAATTCTCTAATTACGTGATTGCGTGTAGCATAGCACCTGCACTTTTTCAGCAAGTCCCCGAGGCTCTTTGCTCATTTGATGTATAACAACCACTCTCGAGATACTACTAATAGATCCATTCATAAATACCGTTCCATCCATCCATAATGCAAGGCTCAGGGTTGGGGCAGAGTTGAAGACCTATTTATTTCTTCTCTGGGGTTTCTATGGCAGGTCTTTATGTAAAACTCTGAAATAGAAAGCCACTTTGCTACACGTAGGGCCCCTTCCCAGGTTCCTAGCAAAAATTTCTTTGGGTCCCTTGAAGATGCTGGAGCTCGAGGAGGTCTTTGAGTGGTTAGGTGGCACTCTAGGAAGTGCAACGGAGCTTTGAGCTGTCCGCAGCCACAAAGAAGGTTAGCGCCCTCGTGATTGAGACGGCGGTGGCACTCTGCAAAGTCACCATGTCCTGAGCGGGCAAGAGTAATTAACTGAGTTTAGCTCTTCTGCAAATTGTAGTGTTAGGATGACTCATCTCACGTGATATACTGTAACAGCACCTATTTATTTTTTGCATTAGATATCAAGGAAATAATGAACCCTCAGTCATTGAGGTTGTTGAGCGCATTGATTCAGGTAACTACCGAAGTGAAACTAAGTACATAATTTGTAGTCACGTGTGTATCAACAACGCGGCCTACTTGATAGCCCCAATTATTCCAAATTTTAATAGTCTTTTTGCTCTAAGACAACTAAGTATGCTACAATTTTGACATGCACCAGGTGTTGAATCTCGTACTCAGTATAACTTCAGTGGCAGGTCGAACGACGCGTTGTTGACCATCATGATAGGGAGTTCATTTTCTCTCCAAAATTAGTCTAATACGTCAGTCTTTATAAGTTGTGCGTGCGAGTAAATCATCATTATTGGCCCAGATCAGATATTTGAATCCGATAGAGCCAAAACAACCGTGTCATCATGTCCCTTCAGAGACGGATGTTTAGTTGTTGCTAGTGCCCGGTAGAGATAAAAATAAATAATATTAAAATATGATTCCTCTGGACGGTAATACAGTAGTACTGTCACAGGAATACTTGCAAGTAGATTTGACAAAGTATGGGGTTAAATCGTTGCGTGTAACTTCGTCTCTACGTCTACGCGCTTAATAGAAGTATCGCGAGGAGGGCAAGACTGAACACCTGTCAGTGGTGCTCTCTACGAACCTGGGAGTGAAATATTCTCCCAGAGCCAAGTTCAGTCAAATTTCGCAATACCGAACAAGTTGGCCCACGAGGCAATGATTCAAATAACTCCACCACGTCAAATTTTCATTCCAAAAAAGATCGAATCCTACCTAAGCCTCATCAAGTTTACAAGTACGACCTAGTACATCCTCATTCCAATGACCACACCTCTTGCCGACCTTCTCTGGCCTCAGCCGGTCACCAAATACACGCCCACGCCGATATTTACACCCGACGGAGGAAGCAAAGCGTGGCGCACAAATCTGGGAGACTGTTCTTTGGGATGGACGTGAGAGGATTTAGGACAAGTTCACAAGATGATGCGAAGGATGGATACAGTCTCGACGGGCATGGAATTTTGAAATCTGGAAAGGAGTTTTTACAAATTGAGCTTTGTGCGTGCCAAGACTTCGGTTGCGAGAGTGCAGGCGACACTATAAACACCGCCGTGGTTGGATGGTGCGGTGGTACATCGTCTTCGCCGGTCTGCCAAGTAGAGTCTGGATAGCTTGGACACATATCCCACTTGAGACAGTAGATCGCTGGTTCGAATCCGGCAAAACACAATCACATTTCTCGCGGCGCTGGTATGCATGGATGACGAAGGCATGCTTGGATAACCAAAGGTTTCGAAATTCCCTTTGGTGGGTACTAACGGAGGAGGGTCGACTGTTTGTGTAAGCAAGCATACCTCATAGTGGTATTTGCAAATGAAATCCAGAGTATGAGTGTCTCTAACGTCAAAAGAGTCATCCCACGTGTATACATAGCACCGGTCATGTGTCATAGCTTTGTAGCTGAATACACATTAAATGATAAAAAAAAAAAGAAGTATCGCGACCTCGCACCCACTAATGTATCGCTCCTAGTCTCATCCACACGCTAATATGAAACTACTAATACAGGGTATATAAAATCAACAGACGCCTTACCCTTTTTAACTCCTAGGCAACCAATAACCACAACCCTAACTCCATTATGTTAAATTGTAGGGATGATTATGTTTGACCAACCCTTCTTATAATTTAACAAATAAATATAAAATGGCTTTTTAAGTATACACCTGCTATACTACAGAACTCATTTGGCTGTAAAATTCTGCCCTGTTCGACCGTTGAACTAGTAGTTGGCGTCAGAAGGGGATGAGGAAGACGGAACAACTATTCACAGTGTTCTCTACAAACCTGGAAGTGAAATATTCCCCCAGAGCCAGGTTCACTCAAATTTCATAATACCATAGAAGGTGGCCCGCGAGAAGATGATTGAATCGTCATAGCTAGATAGCTGAATACAATATGATTCGAAAAAAAATGATTCAAGACTCCCTACCATATGAATTTTCACGCCCAACGAGATCAACTCCAACCCAAGTCTCATCAAGGATACACGTACGATGCATTACACTCTTATGTCGTTGAATGGATGAAAATTTATTCGTGACGTGCACAAGCCCTGCACTCAAAGAGCATGGCACGGAAAAGACTAGCTTCTTCGACGACTATATACGACGATAATTCAGTTTGACATCTGGACTACTCTCGTAGTGGGTGCATTCGCTCATACCACTCCAGATCTTGGTGCTAGGGACTTCCACACTTCCCTAAACCATCAATACGCACCAAAGGGAAAATAGGAAAAACCTTTGGCTATCCTAACATGCCTTTGCCATCTTGTATATAGCAGCCGCAAGACGCATGGCCTCACAGTCCTCCCTTTCTTGAGTGAGGTAGGTTTCCAGGCTGTCCAGACTTTAATTCGGGGAGATGACGACCAGGAGGCGGACCAAAACACCTTCCATCGTTGCCTATTTTTAGTGTGTCGGTAGCACTGTCCGAAATCGTTGCCTCTGCGCCCACAGACACCCTTAGGTCGAAAACACTCAAAAATGTTCGTCCCACGTCCCAGCTGCCTGTCCTCCCTCAAGATATGAAGCCTCATTAGAGCGACATTCTTCCATAGACTAAGACCCGAGCTTTTTAGATTATTACTTAATACCCTCCTCACAGGTATACATAGCATCATAAATGTGTAGTGGGAGATGGCCAGTTTTTGATAAGGCAAATTCCCGATAGCAATTGGAGTAACGCCATTATCGGTATTTGAGGCGAGGTGGTGCAGTAAGATTTAGGTGGAGGACTCGCGTGAGAATGATAGGTCAAACATTTGTCAAGTAGTCGTCAAATGGAGATGTGCTTGAGGTTACTTTCGACTTCGATTCGAATACGATTCTTCTTGGCTATCCCAGATATGCAGAGCATACTGAGCGATTACACCGGCACCACTGTAAGATGAAGAAATAGTCATTGCCGGCCTCTTATTTCGATGACTAAGAGTGAAAAGACTATACTAATTAAACTACTATCTAACAAGGGCTCGGGAGCTTAGCCATATGAACACTACAGTATTGAGTTTAATCATAATAGACATAAATGTTAATCTTTATTTCTAGGATTAGCCCTGTATTTCGCCACTAAGCCCATTTTCGACATGTCTCTAGCCTTATTTGGCCCCTCAGTACGGATGCACGATATCATGGATAGCTGTAGGAGGAAAATTTTCTGGGAAACAGATATTCAGGATGGATTCGAGAGAGATCAGTACAGATGGGTAAGAAGACGCTTAGGAAGGTGTATTCATGGAAGAGGAGAGATTCCGATTTTTTGGACGCTTCGTTTCACATGACAGAGCATTGTACGCTCCCGAATTCCAGTATGAGAGTGTCGGCGATACTTTATACGCTATTGTAGTTAGATGGTGAAGTCCTGAATCATCCAGAGTAGCCTCTCATAGAGTCTAAATATTCTAGTTTCCTAGCCTATTTAAGATGGGAGATTTCTTGTTCGAATCTAGGAAGATTTGTTCACTTTTCCAATGGCTGTGAGGAGTACAGAAAATAGTACACGCTTGTATGTACAATGTTTTGGGATTTTCCGTTGGTGAATACTGAAGAAAGAGGCTCGACTGCTCTGTGTAAGCAAGCACAGCTAATAGCAGTAGTTGTAAACAAGGCCGATAGTATAAGAATCTCTTGAGTCAAAAGGGTCATGGAATATAAACGCAAAGCACTAGTCATGTGATAAAGCTAGGTAGCTACATACACATTATATAATTCGAAGAAGAATCGCAACCCCAGTGGTGATTTTTCATGCCCTCGCCGTGCCACATATGCCGAAATAGTTCTGGTTGCGGAGGGATATAATTCTCTGGTACATAAAAAAAATTATCATACAATTGACATGGAGTGACAAGCCTGCCTCGCTAAACATTGATATTTCGAAGCAGTGAGCGTCAACCTTTTGCACCGCCGAATATTCTTTCTTATTTTCTGGTAAATTTAAAATAGTTCTAAAAACAGGCAGATGGAAACATCTTGGCTTTAGCCAGACTTCGAGCTTGCAGAGTACGCAACAGTTGACTGAACTCTGCAACTAGCTGGACAAGTTTGAATCTGAGGTTTGAAGGGAAGACAAGCTGGGTATAGCTAGGGTCTCCCAGGCTCTAGAAATCCAAACAAAGCAGGTCCAGCTTCGATTGAGCAACACAGCTGTCTAAAGACGATTTTTTTCTTTGTTTCGCGCAGGAAATTATAACTAAGCACTGTAGAGGGGAATTACTTAGTTTGGACAATTATTTTGCGGTGGAAATAGTGTTGTCTACAACAATCATCTAATTTAGAGCTTTCGCTGGTGACATTGAGCATACAACGGATTCCAAGGCTCTAGTAGTGTGGAAAATGAATTAAAATTGTGGCATTGTGGTTTAAAAAGGTGGTCCACATACTTTTGCATCAAGCAACAAGCAATTTTTGGTCTAAGCGGTGTTGAAGTGTCTCCTGAGTTTTTTTGTATACCTCTTCAGGACGACCAGTTGCCGTGACTTTCACAACACGATTCTGAGAATTGAAATAATCGACGACCGGCATGCTGGTCTGTTCAAAAGTTTGAAACCTTTTTTTGATGCTTTCTGCATTATCATCCGATCGACCACTGGTCTTACCACGTTCTAAGAGACGGCGTTGCATCTCTTCTTCCGGACAATCAAAGAACAATACAAACTTGCACGGACAAACCGTCTGCTCAAACATTAGGGCCTGATCCATTTTCCGCGGAAATCCATCAATCAAGAATTTTCCCTGACCATCGGGACGTTTTTCTATTGCTTCAGCCATAGCGTTTTCGAGCAATTGAATTGTTACCTCCATCGGCACAATTAAGCCTTCTTTGATGTAACCTCTGATCATCTCCCCAAATTTTGAGCCCTCGCGTGCCTGTTCTGCCCGTAATAGATCCCCGGCAGAGAGATGTGTGAAATGATAGTCGCGCACTAGGTTTCCGCACTGGGTCCCCTTACCAGCACCTGGTCCACCAAGCACAAATATTACCGTTACAAGGTCTGGGGAAAAGCGAGGTGTCTTTTTTTCATTAGAGAGGGGCGAGGTAGTCGAGGTAGACTGGGGCGGCATTTCTGAAGGAGACAAAAGGTGTTAGCTATTACTGGCTATGGAAATAAGAGTCTAAAGCCATAGTCGGAAGAAGAAAAGCTCCAACTGAAGTCTGAGTCCAGCCAAGTACCAGACTGAGATTAAGATGGACGCCTACCTTTCCTACTGTTTACCATCAACATGTATGAACCTGTTCCTACCAAAGTGATCGCAATGAATGGCCAAACCTGGATTGGACTACGATTGGGTGTAGGATTTGAGTGACCTTGATAACTTCTGTTTTGGCCTCGCGCCAAGTCGTTGAATCGAGCCTGGTGTATACAGAGGCAATTGCGAGCGGTTTTAAATTCATGTAGAGCCCGTCTATAAACGTGTTGCGTGAGGACCCTGGAAACATTCATCGCACCTGATGCAGCGGCTTCAGTGAGCGTTCTTCTCGACGAAAGCTTTATTCCCTGCACATTCACCCAACTCCTTGCTCGTGGCGTTTCTACGACCGCATGGTACAGGTGGGTCAGATTAAGCGAAACTGCTATATTTAGTATCATTTAATATATGTGTAGGCTTTTCTCTGAAAACCTATTCTACGTAATGCGGAAATGTTACACGATCATCAAGCAGCTCCTATAATTGTATGATATAATGAAGACCTGCGAGGGGTGGTAATTTTCGATGTGAGCTGCATGAGAGGCACAAGAAGAGATATAGTACTAATGTAAGTATCCATCGTCTGTAAGCAGAGAAGATCTGTATATCCTATTTTGTTTATTTAAATTACATGTCGTATATAGTCGTGTACTGAGAATGAAAAGCAGTAATTATCAGTGAAAAACAAAACTACTCCTAAGCGAAATTTTTGACACCAGTCAAATTTGGTGAGCTTTTAAAAAGGCGTCGACAAAAGACGCAAAGCTTTGTCACACAATCGATGAATAATTTATTCTACAGAAGTTAGTTCTGCCTTCCATCGTGCGTCATGCCGGCGTTGGGTGGCCACGGTGTGACAAAGCCATATCCCCAGCTGCCCAATCGGGCTGCCACAAAGGGTGCAGGGCGATACGTCAGGCTGATCGGGCTCGAAACTTTTGGTCTTACTAACATCGTACACCACATAATTTTGGCCTTCAGGCAGAGATATAAGCCTCTTATCTTTATAAATCCTAGTCGAGCACCAAAATGTAACAGTTGTCCCATGGATCCATCAATTTAAGCATTGAAGATCGTTCACTTGGGTTACAAAAGACTGGTGCATATGGAACATGATAGAGTCACGCTTATTGAACTAAGTTTGATAATAAGAGTACTCAAAACGATACTCAAAGGTCCAAAGAGCGGTGGTGTGTGTTGTTGAAATTTTAAAGCCCTGAGCTAAAATAAAAGCTCTACGTCCTACTATGTATACAGGACCGGTGGAGCTGGCAGGGATCCTTAAGTTCTTTTCCACAGACCACTCATTCTAACAGCGTGAGTGAGTGAGTGATGTTGTTTATTGTACAACTTGAATCATAGACTATCTAGTACATTGGGCTCCTCTCTGGCCCAGGCTACACCTTGTACAGTGCTCCTTGCCTCTTTTGTTACTTTAAAGATCTTTGATATTTTGCCGGTAACTAGTAGCCATTCACCTCAGTGTTTACCCGTGGAATTCAGCCACCTATTCCACGAAACCTTCTACCCCCAAAAAAATAAAATGGTAAGAATGGAAACTGTGTGCACGGGAAAAAGTCTCTAAAAACTTGCAGCCCCTGCCAGGCGAGGCCAAGACACCTGGACCACATGAGGTGCACATATTCATCTATATCTCCCTTCTTTGTAACAGTCGAGGCCGACTTGATCCAATCCACCACCGCCGCATCGGGTGCTGGTTACGCTCCGGAAACTCATCAGATGGCTTCTACTCCATGATCAAGGGTTGGTGATGAGCAGGGCTTTGGCCCTAACATCTGATCTGATCGTGGTTAGCTTCGTGAAAATAGTGATAGGGGAATGTATTGATGGATGAGACAGTACAGACAGTGAAAGCGATTGGGTATCATCATCGAAGTCGGGACCAAGATGTCACCCAAACTCGAACTAACAGACTCTACGGTGAGAGCTAGAGGATCGTAAGGGACACAACTGACAAGTGTCGAAAATAGTCCCCCTGGATCCTATGGTACTTGCAAAGTCCCTTAGCTTTTCTGCCCTCCTCCTCAGAATAGGTGTTGTATTTGTTGTTACATTAGCAGCTAACAACATGTTCTCATGGGTTGAAATAATAAAATTGTCAAAATGACTGGGGTGAGATCCCTATAAATATTGATTTGATTGGTTAGGTCTTCAAGTAGGCCCAAGTCTAGCTCGTCTACTAGTTATGCAAGCAGGGGTACTAACTAATAACATTCCAGGAAAGTCAAGATTAATGTGGATGACTCTCATCTCTATAGGAAAAGTAAATCGGTCCTCATTTGAAATAAAAAAAATAAAAAAGCAATCGATATTATTTAAAACTACACATCTATTTCAAATATAATTGCACTGTATTACAAAAGTATACTGTAGAGCAAAGGCTGGACACCTGTACGCGGTGTCCTCTACAAACCTGGGAGTGAAATATTCTCCCAGAGCCAAGTTCAGTCGAATTTCGCAATTCCGAAGAAGCTGGCCCACGAGGCAATGACCCAAGACTCTCTACGGAATCAAATTCTTCCACCAAAAGAGATCGATCTCTACCTAAGTCTCATCAAGTATACAAGTACGACCTAGTATATTTTCGTTTCAATGACCACACTTCTCGTCGACTACTCTCTGACCTAAGCTGGCCACCAAATACACGCCCTCGCCGTTATTTAGAACCGACGGAGAAAGCAAAGCGTGGCGCACAAATCTGGGAGACAGTTCTTCGGGATTGACGTAGGAGGGATTAGGACATGTTCACAAGACGACACAGAGGATGGATAAAATCTCGACGGGCGTGTGATGTTGAATTTTGGCAAGGAGATTCAAGAATTGAGCTTTGTGCGCGACGAGACTTCGCTTGCGAGTGTGCAGCTGACACTATATAAACAAGCAAGCAAGCAAACGATAAAAGGTGCCGTGGTCCACCTCTTGGTGGTATTCTCTGGTATAGTTTGAGTAGCCTGGGCACCTAGTCCACTTGGGAAGGAGACATCTCAGATTACATTTCGTGCGGAGAAAAGTTATCGGATGATGGAGGCGTGTCTGGATAACTCAGGGTTTTTGAGACGTTCCCCTGGGTGAGTATTCACGGGTGAGGGTTGACTCGGGGTGAAGAAAATGCCACCATGACTTCGCAGTGGTACTTGCAAATCAAATCCGAGGCACGAGTGATTTTCCTTTACGTTGAATCATCTATTCTGTACCTTTCTTAGATATTATGTCATAGCTAGATAGCTGCATACACAATTAAAGTTTGATGCAAAAAAAGAATACAAGAGTATACATCGAGGCCCTTAGTATGGCTCGCAAACAAAATGAAAGCATACTACATGTTTTGTCTTAGTCTTCTCCATCCTAATACTTTGTGTACCCTCCATTTGCCTTTATCACTGCTACACAGCTTTCGTATATGCTACCAACTAGTGATAGTAGCTCCTCAGAAGAGATAGAGTCCCATACGGCCTGTAGCAATGTTCCCCCGTTACGGGCTGTGCCCCGTTCGATTAGGCTGGGCTATCTTTCAGGCCCAGCCTCGTTCAAGGACTTAAATCACGTGATCTAACATGTGGTCGTTTTTCGCGACTCGAATCACTCAGTTAACTATGCTGAGGCTGGGAAAAAGATCACTCAGTAGCGAAGGATTACGTGTCAGGAATCAAGATCACTGGAAGCTGCATGGGGCATATTTAATTTAATAGATTTCCCATCGTTAATCTCTGTAGAAAAATATTAATTCTTTGTGGTACTGTTTACGTGCGGTGTCCGTAATCCTCTTCGCCCTTAACATCCCCACGTGGCAGAGCGCACAAGCCTGACCCCATTTATCTCTGGACTATTTGCCTAAATATAATTGTTTAAGATGTTCCACAATGACTCGATCGGGCTCAGGTTCGGAGAGTAAGCAGGCCATCTGATAGGCGTTATTCCAACCTCACGCAGCGCCTCAATCGTTGAGTATGTTTTATGACACGGTGCCTTGTCGTGCATGTATAGAATTTCTGGATTTTCCAAGTGAAATTGATTCAAAAGAGGCAAAACACTCTCATAAAAAGATGAGGCCCTCATTGATTCCCAATCCTCCTTCCAGATTAGGAATGGGCCTTTCTGTGATCCATAAACTGATCCCCAAAACATCCAGCTGTTCCTATGAGCATGATGAGTCACAATACAGGTCTCGTCAAACTCATAATCGGCCAAAACTCTGCTGTCAGTACAAGGAAGTTTTTGATAGAGTTTATACGCACTTTTCTTGTGCACGAGGTTTCATGAGAACCACCCGATACCCAAGTTTCATCAGCCCATAGTGTTCGACTACATTGTTCCTCGCTCTAAACTAAATGTAATTGGGCGAACTACAATCTTTTCTGCTTGTTAGCTGTACTAACAGAGGCTTCTTCCGAGCTATGCATTTGCTGTAACCTTATTCTCGAGTGCATTAGAAATTAAACACTCACCGCATCCCCAGTGGCTAAAGGGTCCCATGGCTAGTTCCAAATAGCAAATCTGACGATTTTCAAGAGATTCACGGATGAAAGCCTCAAGTTCATTGATTTGTTCTGCGCTTAATTTTGGCGGGCGTCCTTTGCGAGGTTTAGGATTCTCATCCTCTCGAGCACACACACGTTGTACTTGCCTTGTTGTAAAGCCAAGTTCGATGGTGTGATGGGCGATCAACAGAACAACATAGGAAAGGAATGGTGGCTAATTACTGTCTATTTTTTACATACACCTTGGAACTGTCCACCGAAGGGAGGCTACTTAAGGTGTCTCAACTCTCAATGCGCTAACCACATTGTCTGCTCTACAACACCATATCTTTGATATCCCGAGTAGGCTCGTCACTGCGAGTAGGGGTCGTTTTGGTACATGATTCCACATGAGACTTGCTGCAAAAATATCCTGTTTCCATATTTGTTGTAACCCTGTGTATGTCTGGCCAGGTTAGACAACTCTTTAGATAGCAAGGCTAATAACATAATAATGATGAGTGTCCGTGCGATAGCCACTAGGTGTTGTAAAGTTAAGAGCCTGTGGAGGTTTATTGGCAGAAGGTTTACGGATGATTACTGATGAATCAATATGAACCGCTGATATTCTTGGTATTTAGTACTATGATGATTTAGGATGTAGAAAGCGCTACTTATATATACATCTGAGGTGTCATGGAACACTAGTCACTTGCTATATGGACACTAGGACTAACTTTGGGATATTGAGAAAATATAGTCACAAGAGTAATATA